TTCTGTGCTCTGAGTTACAAACCGGGCAGGAATGCAGCCAGCGAGGGCGTGAGCTCAGTGGATGGGAAGCAGGAAGAGCAGTCGGTCTCTTCCGTCTCCATCTACCTCTCCGAGTTTGGCCTTGGCCTTCCCCCACCCCTCTGATTATTCATTAACTACAGTCCAGGAAGTGCTTTGCAAATGGTGAAAATTAAGCCCTCAGCTTGAGGCCTGAAGTTTGCCTGACCTGGAGCTACCTTCTTCTTAGTCCGCCTGGGAGCAGGCGGAGTTCGGGGCTTTGCCTGTGCGGATCAGGCTCAGGTGAGTCACGGGAGGTGCTGCAGCCGCCAGCACTGCCAGCTGCTGCTCCAGCACCGCCATGAGCATCCAGCCCTGCCGGGATGGTGCCAGGCCACCTCTCCTCTGTCAAGGTCTTTGATCTCTCTCCCAAATCCGTCTCAAGAGCCTTTCTTGGTAATTCCAATATTGCTTTATTTTCTTTAGTAGGACCCCCTTGGTTGAGGGCTGTGGTACTTCCTCCACCAGCTCCTGTCAGTCCTCCATCAGTGGGGATCTGAGAGACAAGACCCTGATGCCATCCCGTGGGTGAGTGCCGTGAATGCTAGATAGGGCAAGAAAACAAGAGTTGTAAAAGTATCAGCAGTAGGAATCAGGCACAGAAGGGAAAAAAGCCCGCTTTCCAATAGGAGCTGCCTATTACAGGGAGCCAGAGGGCCTGCCCTCTGGTAAGGGTAGCCAGAAGATTGGAGCTTTCTGTGCTTTATATTGCTGCTGTTGCTCCTTCTCACTTTGTTAATGAGCAAGCAGCATTTGTGATGTCCAGTCTGCTGCAGTTTCGCTGCCACCCTGCAGCTGCAGCATCTCTGAAGGGTTTTGCAGAGGGAGATGTCAGCTGCCTGGACTTTTAAATCCTGGTTATTCCTTTATTTGCTGCAGTCTTTCTAGCCCTTTAAGGAATGAAGAGTGGGACATACAATCCCCACAGTCAGTCCAAACAGGCACCCTGCTCTGGAGACTGCCGTGGCAGGGTGTCAGGAAATGGGATTCACACTAGTATTACTCTCTGGTAAGAATTTGGGCAACCACAGTGGTCCAACCACATGGAGCCCCATGGCCTGGTGGAGAACATGTGGCTTTGGCAAGTCACAGGAAGATGGTCCATCTGCCCATTCCCAGGCAGCCTTTGCTCTGCACTGATGTCTGAACTACAACGGAGTTCTGTAGAGAACAGCAAAACCTCCTGTCTGAAATCATCTCAGGGCTCAGATTTAGAAGTAACAAATGCAATGCTCATTCTCAAAAAGGGCTCCAAATTAGCTCCCCCCAAACGTGAGGGAAGCATGGAACGCTAAAGTCATTATCTGAGCAAGAGGGTACACAGTATAATGGGGAAAGCAATGAATGTGGTATTGAAGAAAGCACCAGCACCTGCTTTTGTAAAGGCAAATATGGTCCTGTAAAACTGGAGGGTTTTGAGTGACTTAGCAAGCTTGTGGATAAGGCAAGTCTGGCCAGTACAGTTTGATTTGATTTAAAGAATTTAACAAGATTTTCCCATCAAAGTCTTTAAATAAGGCTGAAATCACGGCATTTAAACCAAAAAACAAACAAATGGGTTTTCTTGAGTAAAGAATTACTAGAGAATAGTAAATGGAAGGTGGGAATTAACATCTCATTTTTACAGCAAAGGGGAGTCATCAGTGGTCAGATCACAGGGGCTTAATCTGAAATACACACTGTTGAGTATTGCCAAGTGACCTGGGAATACAGCTTGGTGAGGTGAGGAAATTGGATGATGGTAGAAAGTTATTCAGGATAATAAGGTGGGAGTTGACTTGTGAATAATTTCGGAAAGACCTAACAGCAGTGAATGAGTGGGCAGTAGAACAGCAGGTGAAAAGGCTTATGTAAAACAGTGTTCATACAGAAAAATAATAAAAGAATTGCATATAAAACAATGACTGTGAAATAATTGTAACCTTTCTGGAGCGAGACTTTGATTATAGAAGTCCATGCAATTGTTAGCTGAATGCTTGGTTGTGGTGAACATCAGAAGTCATCGCTGTCCGTGACTCACCAGCATTTTGAACACCACGGTTCTGTGCCCACCTTCACTATTATCTCCAGATCAAGATGCCAGAATTGGAAATATCTTAGAGGGACAGCAGAGGTGGTCAGAGGTGTAGAATAGTTCTGTCCAAAAAGAACCCCTTAGTAGGGCTGGAGTCTTCAGCCTGGCAGAGAGTAGAGGATGGACATGGATGTTTCAGGTCCTTTACCACAAGCAGCTTAGAGCAGGGGGGAAGAAACAGGAATCACCCCATGACTTTCCTTTCTTTACAACAACCAGGTGTTAAAAAAGGCAGGGAGCAGGTTATAAGTGAGTCAAAGGAGGGAGTGTTTCTGTAACTGAGCAAAGAAACTCTTTGCCAAAGGATTCAAAATTTGTTATGTGTTTGACAGTTGACTACAAGTACTTGATAATGGAGGCTTAGGAAGTACAAGAGCAAAAGAAACTCTGTACATAATCTTTCTTTCTGCTCTTCAACAACCATTTTGACCTCTGGATTGGCTCCTCTCACCCCCTGCTCACAGCAGAGCTCGCCCCAAAACCAGCTCAGGTGGCTCAGGGCCTTGGTCGGGTGAGTCCTGACACCTGCCACGGTGGAGATTCCTTAGCTGCTCTGGGAACCTGTGGCAAGTGCTGAACTTCCCTTGCAGGGGAGCGAGCATGTGTGCAGTTTTTCCTGATACCTAATCAGAATTTCCCTTGCTGCAAGTGATGCCTGTTGCCTCTTGTCCTTTTATTGTGTCCCACAAAAAAGTACCTGACTCATTTGTGTCTAAAACCCCACAGCCCCATTTAGGTAGTCGCAGACAAATGTTAAATCCCTCCTTAAGCATCTTTTCTTAAAGCTGAATAAAAACCCAGCTTGCTCTCTACTATGCTTCAGGCTCTTCATTGCATTAGTGGCATTATGCTGGATCCTTTCCAGTTTCTCAGGGCCTTTTTTTTTTCTTGCAGCAATCCAGATGTGTGTGTGTCTTTTAATTAGCTATTTCATTTATCTTGTGCTGTAAATTTGTTACTGCGCTAGCTGTGGCCTGGTTCCATGAGTGATTTACAAGATGAGGTTCTAACACCTGTAAAGCCAAACAGTGTAAGAGTAGTCTCTTTGCTGAAATCTCTTGACCTCTTAATTATATTAAAAAAAGTGTTTTAGTGGCTCAGTTATAGTCTTATTATATTTAGTGGCTCAACTGTTCCATGCTGCAGCCATTTGGGAGAGCAACCTCGAAGATTCCAACTGATGGCTTCTCTAGGGTGACATTTCCCTCCCTTACTGATAGTTTTTAATTAGATGGCCCAGATCAAAGACATCAGGGCAGCTGCATGCATCCACTCCTTTCTTAAAATGAAAGCAAGGAGAAGCATAAACTCATCCTGTAAATTATGTGATATGGGATTTTTGTCCACAAAAATAATTTCAAGATATTACACTACACCCTGTGGCTTGTCCTTCTGGAGGATACTGAGTTACATGTGATAAGTGCTCTCTTACCCCTTCTTATTCTGGTCTGGGCTCTTGGCTACCTTGTTCTTTCCCTGTTCCCTTGTGTTCAACTAATGTTCAGTTGGATCTCAGACAGATTTTCTCCTTCAGTCAGTGTAGGGCACAGGGGTGCCTAAGCTTTGAATTTTGTCTGCCTTGGCTTCATACTGACTCAGCATACCCTAATATTATTTTGATATCATTAATTATTTTTTGGGGCTTCTCCCTGGAAGTTCCTGCCTTTTCTCCCTTAGCTATAAACAGCACTTGTTTCTTGTTCCTGCTAGACTGATTTAGGTCTTTCAGGTGCAACTTCTACAACTTTGTGCAGTTGTTCCCTTGAGTTGGTTCTATGCAGTTGAAATTGCCTTAGTTTTTAATATCAGTTCTAAGTCAGTACCTCTGGCTGCCTGCAGCTCACTGCACCCCAGCTCACCATGTGCATGAAACCAAAAGCATTTCTAAGGAAGCTGTTGTAGGTGCCTGGGTTGCCTTTCTAGCAATGAAGTTTAGCTTCCCACTCGTCTTTCCTGTACTTCCCTTTGTTGCTGGTTTCTGTCTTGGCCACGAGTTTTTGTCTAGGTCTAGCTAGCAGCCTGTTCATCTTTTTGCAGGATTTCCCTGTCTGGTGGTGTGGGGAAGTCTGCAGCTGCTGCTACTTGAAATGGTCAAGGCTCTTGCTGCTGCCCACACCACACAGGGTAGCTGAGATGGCCCCAGGGAAAAATCAGGCTCCTTTGCCAGCTGGATTGCACTCTTAGGCCACTGCTTAGCTCCCATTCTTTAACCAGACCTGCAGACCTGGAAGCCAATGTTGTGGGCAGGGCAGTCATGGGCCACAGTTGGAAGCAGCTAGGTGACTGGAATGGTTTTCCTTCTTTTTGTACCTGGCTGTCCAGATTGTCAGTTTTGGCCTCAGTATCGGGTGCTGGGATTTTGAAGGCCCTCGACACTGCTCCCTCAGTGCTGTGTGGGCTCTCTGTAGGTAGCAGCTGTTTGTCCTGGTCTCTGCCTGTCTTCCTGGGCAGCTTCACCACCCTCTTCCAACCTCCCCATCCTTCCTGAGCTACCAATGCCTCAGTCCCATCCTGTGGCAGGCTGGCACTGCTGTGCTCAGAGCACTAGCCTGGACCTTGAAGTCTACAGCTGTGGGTTCACACGGATTCCCCCTTGTGCCTGTACAGAGCATGTAGGACATTTGGGACCATTTATGTTGCTCATTGGCCTTTTGGAGAAAAAGGGGAACAGAGGATGTGCAGATCTGAGTTTTGTGAACACAGCCAGAACCCAAGATGTATGCAAAGAGTCAGCCCTGGTGTGCTAACGACAGGGACCCAAAAATAATAGGGGCTATGGGGAGGAAAGACACAAAAGGAGAAGCAGAAGTGTATGCAAAGCAGCTTGGGGCTGCGGAGTGGATGGCTCAGAGCGCTTCCTGTTCCCGGAGCCGCGCGTGCCCCGCTGTGTACGGGCTCACACCTGCCTGTGCCCGGCAGCAGTGCACAGTGGGCCAGAGACCAAGGAAAAGGTGGATAGAGAAGGTCTGAATGGACTGACAGTAGACTCCAGGAGAGATACATGGCCAGCTCCCAAGAGGCACAGGAGCAGTTTGGCGTTGGGTGCCCCGGCACAGACCTCCGACTTCCCTTTCCTTTCCAGCGCAAACTGATCTTTCCTCTGAGTTTTTTGGGTTGCTTTGGTGGCAGCCACTTGGCCGCCTCTTCTTTCTCCCTCCACAATGGTGAGGTAAGAGGGTCTGAGAGGTCTGTGTGTGTAAGGAATGGGACCAGGGAAGTAGGGTGGATCAGGGCAGGGATGGCCCTGGAAGCCTTCTCTCTGATGGGAACCATCCATAGACTGGGGGAGGCATCAGGCAGGAAGGGATGCTGCTGCTGGCTTTTATTAGGGATGCCAATCAGGGACCATTCTTCACTCTACAAATCTCCACAGTAGTGCCTGGCCTATTTTATTCACTTGGTCTTGCTTTTATTTTCTCTGCTAGGTGGTTTCACCGTGACCTGAGTGGGCTGGAAGCTGAAGCCTTACTGAAGGGACGAGGTGTCCATGGGAGCTTCCTGGCCAGACCCAGTCGGAGGAATCAGGGGGATTTTTCTCTTTCAGTCCGGTAAGTAACTTGAACCCCAGCTTCTGTCTTTGCAGTGTTACATGCACAGATTGCCTAGATCCTCACATGTCCTGTGGCATCTTCTTCATCCTATCTCTATTCCTTTGAGTTCTTTTCAAGCTGTAAAACAACCTCAGCTTCCCAGCATATTCTAGAGCCTCCCTCAAGCTGCCCAAGGAGCTTCTCTTTCCAGTCATCTCCATGGGCACGGTTTGCTCTGGTTCCATGGTGGGAGGTAGTGCAGGACAGTTTTCTGCCCCTTTTCCAACCACCTCATTGGACTGCCCTGTGCTTTATTCCCCAGGGTTGGTGATCGGGTAACCCACATCCGCATCCAGAATACTGGGGATTTCTATGACCTGTATGGAGGGGAGAAGTTTGCCACCTTGTCAGAACTGGTGGAGTACTACACACAGCAACAGGGCTCGCTGCAGGACAAAGATGGAACCATCATCGACTTGCGATACCCGCTCAACTGTTCTGACCCCACAACAGAGAGGTACAGGGACAGCGAGGCAGCCGCTGTGTCTGTGATGAGATGTTTCATGGCCTCCTTTCTGTCCTGCCTGCATCCCCAGAGCAAATCCTGCAGAAAGTGCCTCCTTTCTTAACCTCCTATGTGTCCATGGGGGCAGCATCCTCAGGAATAACTGTGCATACCTTGATCCATCACAGCAGACCTAATAGGGCTCTATTTTTACTTCTGGTTTCCGGTAGCCTTTGCTATTTTTATGCTGTTTCTGAAAGCAAAGGTTGTGGTGTCCACTGTGGGTCTGCAGTGGTCTGTGGAGAGACATGTTGTGTGGAAGCTCTCAGTCTTGCCCCAGACCTCCTTGATTATTCTAGGCCTGGGTGACTCACATAGCTGAGAGCAGGACCATGTTCCCCTGCTATTCCTGGCCTGCTTAGTCTCCTTCCTGTCCCCACTTTGCGTGTGTCTCTGACACCAAGTTCCTAAATCAAATCAGGTGGTTTTGCCCTTGTGTTTTGCTTTCAGGCCCTTTGATGCAGCTCGGGGGAGGTGTCATACCCCGCTCTGGGGTGGAGAAGTCCTTTCTGCACAGGTCCTCCTTGGGCACCTGGAGTCAGGGAGCAGAGATGCCCTGAGCCGAAACATCAGGGTACAGCCCAGCTTGCTCTGGGGTCAGGCTGCAGAGCGGGCAGGTCTGCTGCTGGCTGTCCTCTCCAGTCAAGGCCATTGCATCGTGGCCCTGCAGTTTCCTCCCTTCCTTCTGCGGTTGGAAACTTACCCCCTCCCCCTTCAGGCTCTTACGAAAGCTCTTCTCACTCTCCCCAAGTGATTTTCCGTCACGTGGCTTTGAAAAGCTGGGCTTTGCTGGGGGAGGGAGGAATGGGACCCATTAACCCCATCCTACCTGTGGAGGAGAGGCTGGGAGACCTCTTTGATGAGCAGGAGGGCCCAACCAATCCCAAGGTGGCATCTTCAGCCATGGTGGCTGAACAATTCTCTGAGAAGAGGTTCAGAAATTAATGACTGATCGTGCCCTGAGAGACACCAGCTGCTTCTTGCCATGCGTGAAGTGAGGGTCAACAAAAGTTGCTTGCTGGCACCAATAACGGTGTGAACCTCTTGTGGAGCAACCCCTTGCTCTGACCAGATGCAGGGGAGAATGAATGAATGAATGCCCCAGCTGCCTCCATGACTGGGCTGTGGCCTCCTGAACTCCATCTCAGTTCTTAGGAACAAATAACCCCCTAACAATGTGAAGTTCACCAGTACCATACCAGGCCCTCCCTGTTAGCTGCTCCTTGGGAAGTAAATCTGTTCCCACATCCCCATGGCAAGGCAGGAACACCTTGGTCAAATGGGGATGATCCTGACCTTCTGCTAGGAGGAGCTGCTGAGTGTTTGCATTGAGGACAGGAATGTACACATGGATAAGCTCTTGGTGCTCACTCCTGTGGCCTGGGTGATTGCTGCAGTGTGCTGTGCCCAGAGAATGGGAATTATCCTTTGAGTGAAGAGATGACTGAGTTTCAGAAAGAGGAGTTGCTGGAATGGTTCTTTAATGGATCTGATCTCAACACAACCATCTGGGTGCTGCTAAATTGGATGGGAGAGTTTCTAACTCAGTGGGGGCTTATTTTTATTTCCCTGGTGTTTGAGTTTGGAGAGCCCCTTGCAGCAGTAAAGCAACAATCCAAATAATACTGTGAGGTGCTGAAACACACAGACTACCTTCTCCCAACTGGTGTTCCAGGCAGTTTTACCTGTGGCAGGCGCAGGTTTACCTGTGCCTATGCATGTGTCACACAATGGATTACACTTGGTGTTTTCCCACTGTGTCCTCTGGTACCAGTCTTCTGCTCCCTAGATCCCTTCTGTCTCCACCTCATCCCTTGCACTTTCCTCTTCTGGCCATCTTTGGTCTCATCTGCTTTTCCCAAGATCCTGCTCCTCCTTCCCTCTCTTATTCCTTCCTCTGTCTCCCCCTTCCTTTCTACCTCCCTCATCCTTCCCCAGTATTGCTGTTCTTCACTCATCAGCTCAAGGGCATCCACTTTCTGCATCTCCACCTCTTTTTTGACCCTCTCTTGTTTATTCTTAGGTGGTACCATGGGCATCTGTCAGGCCCTGCAGCTGAGTCACTGCTCCAGGCCAAAGCTACTCCTTGGACCTTCTTGGTGCGGGAGAGCCTCAGCAAACCCGGGGACTTTGTCTTGTCTGTCCTCACTGACCAGCCTAAACCTGGGTCTGATGCTCCAGCTGGGGCAACTGGTGCCTCTGGGACCCGTCTCAAAGTCACACACATCAAGATCATGTGTGAGGTGAGCAGAGGGAGGGCAGAAGGAGAGGCAGTGGTCTGATAGATGTTCCCAAAATCGCTGTCACAATATCTCCTATTTCTTTCATGTGGGATGAGAAGATTCCAAGGAGAGAATGCAGCTGACCTTTAAATGAGATTGGAGGGCAATACACCTTCTCAGGGCTTTGATCACTGAGAGCACTTACATTGAGAGCGCTGTGCCGTGAACTCCACATGCTCACGGCAAACTCTGACTTCCCTGCCAGAGGAAATGCTTTCCTAGATGGTGCAGGGTGGTGCCTATGGATCTGCACCCCAGCATTGCCTTTTTCTTGAGTGTCATCAGCTTTGTCTATGGGATAGGTGGAGAGAGTGGGGGCTGTGCAGCCTGGAGAAAGCCCTAGGGAGATGGTACAGCACCTTCCAGTACCTAAAGGAGGCTCCTGAGAAAGCTGGAGAGGGACTATTTACAAGGGCATGGAGTGATAGAGCAAGGGGGAATGCTTTGAAACTGAAAGAGGGCAGGTAAAGATGGGATATTGGGAAAAAATGCTTTATTGTGAGGGTGGTGAGGCACTGGCTCAGGTTTCCCAGAGAAACTGTGGATGCCCCATTCTTGGAAGTGTTTGAGGTGAGGCTGGAGGAGGCTTTGTGCAACCCAGTCTAGTGGAAGGTGTCCATGCCCATGGCAGGGAGTTTGGAATTAGCTGCTCTTTATGATACCTTCCAACCCAAACTATTCCATGATTCTGTTATGAATGAGTGAGACAATACACATTCTTCCTCTGTTTAGAATGGACGCTACACAGTTGGAGGTGCTGAAATGTTTGACAGCTTGACAGATCTGGTGGAGCACTTCAAGAAGATTGGAATTGAGGAGATGTCTGGTTCCTTTGTGTACCTGAAGCAGGTAAGTCCAGTTTCCTGGTTTTTAGGGGTCCTTTGGAGGGACTGATTTGCTGTTTGTTTCTGCTTTGTGTCCCTTTGCTTCTTTTTTCCCATGGTGCACAGAGGACACTTTGCTCTCTAGCAGCATCTCTCACTCTCTTTCAATCTTACCTATTGTGTTTTCCCATCCCCAGCCCTACTATGCTACAAGGGTGAATGCTGCTGACATTGAGAACAGAGTGCAGGAACTGAACAAGAAGACAGGTCTCTCTGAGGAGACATCCAAGGCTGGATTTTGGGAGGAATTTGATGTAAGAAACTGCAGGGGGACATTATTTGGCTTTTTGGGAATTTTGCATGCACCATCTCATTCTCCATCCTTGATTTATTCCTGTACACAACATTCTTGTGTGTCTTGTCAATTTATTTCTGAAAGAAGTCTGTATTTGGAACCAGTTCCCCTGGGAAGTGAGTCTCACCTTTAACTAAACCCAGTGAGGTAGAAATGTGCTTTTTTATGGTTGGGAGAGTGAGTCACCAAGACAGTAAAGGCACAGACCTCGGACTTCTCAAGTCTAGGTTTAGTTTTCACTTCTCTGCTCCCCCACAGCATGCCCACGTGTCATCAGAGCCACCACTGGGCCTCCTAGTGCCCACCTCCCCTGTCATACATTGTAACCTTGCCATGACTGTTCTTTCTTCTGCTCTCAGAGCCTGCAAAAACAGGAAGCTAAGCACCTGTTTGACCGTCATGAGGGCCAGAGACCTGAAAATAAGAGCAAGAACCGATACAAGAACATACTACCTTGTGAGTCTTGCTTCTCCACTATAAAATAAACAAATAGACACAGGTAATGAAGAGCTGTCCAAGCCATCCCTGCCTCAGCCCGCTCCGTCCTCCAGAGCAGGTTACAAGGTGTTACACTGAGGATTTAAGAGCTGATGAGGGAAGTCGCAGCTTTTTCCTGCCCTTGAAGGAAGGAGGGAGGGTTGCATTGGACTCATTAGCTTCTGTGGTCCATCACAGAGGCAGAGAGATGGGAGGACAGAGTGAGATTGGTCTGAATCCAGAGAGGGAGAGCTGAGGATACAAGGCATGTGCTGGGAATGATGACTGAGGTGGTATGGGGCAGTGAGGGAGCTCCGTGTGGCTGTGCATGGAGTATCTCATTGCACTGTTCATTCTTTCTCTTCACGCCCAGTTGATCACTCCAGAGTCATCCTTCAGGGAAGGGACCCAAATACACCTGGATCTGACTACATCAATGCCAACTATGTCAAGGTGAGATTTTTGAAAGATGGCTGTGTGCCCAAACACAAAGCAGGGGAAGGCCTGCCTGCTCCTGCAGCACTCCTGACCCTCCTCTGTCCACACTCAGAACACCCTGATAAGCCCAGATGAGTGCACCAAGACCTACATCGCCAGCCAGGGCTGCCTGGATGCCACAGTCAATGACTTGTGGCAAATGGTGTGGCAGGAGAACACGCGCATTATTGTGATGACAACACGGGAGGTAGAAAAAGGCCGGGTGAGTAGCAGTCTGGAGGTGTCTCTTTTCCCTTTCAACCATCGCTCTGCTTTTTCTCTCTCCTACCTTCTGATCATCCTCACCCTGACCTCTCTGCCCACACAGAACAAATGTGTGCCTTACTGGCCAGAGCTGGGCAGCACGAAGGAGTATGGTCCCTACCTTGTGCAGAACACTGGGGAGCACGATGCACTGGAGTACAAACTCCGGCACCTCTGCGTGTGCCCGAAGGATAACGTGAGTGTGTCTGACCAAGGGCTGCCATCCAACCCCTGGGTCTAGCAGCCACCATACACCTAAACCTGGGAACTGCTGGGTGCTGTGATGATGCTGCTGTTTTATCATTCCTGGGGCTGCTGTTCCCACTTGGTTTGGGCTGGAATCACACTGGTGGAATCACCAAGAAGTGTGCAGGAGACACTCTCTGGCTTCAGACTTGCCTCTCCCTGGAAGAGAGGCCAGGGAGAGGGCTGGGTTGCAGTTTTACCGGGGGGGTGTTTTTGCTTTTCTCAGGGCAAGGCTGTGCGTGAGATCTGGCACTACCAGTACCTGAGCTGGCCTGACCATGGTGTACCCAGTGAGCCAGGAGGAGTCCTCAGCTTCCTCGACCAGATAAACCAGAAGCAAGAGAGCATCCCCAACGCAGGGCCTATTGTGGTACACTGCAGGTTAGTACAGAGGCTGGAGTTTGAAGCACCCTCCGTCCCTTATCTAGGGTGAGATACGGAAAGTCTGTCCTGCTGCTTCCAGCTGTACCCCAGGACTTGTGAGTGAAGTATATGCCAGTGCCAATGTTCACTTTTTCCTCTTCCGCCCCGACACCAAACTCCCTACTGTTGAACCCGTGACTTTTGTGGCATTGCTGAACAGCTGCTACGAGCCACATACTTCCCCAGAAGCAGCTGCATTTTGTTTCAGGAGCTGTCTTGCTCTGACCACCGCTTGTCCTCTCCTTGCAGTGCTGGGATTGGCCGCACTGGGACTATCATCGTCATTGATATGATAGTGGAAACAATCTCCACCAAGGGTAAGAGGACCCCAAAGGATCTCAAAATGAACTGGGCTACCCAGTAGGGCTTTGCCTTTAAGATCAGCTGCAAAGGGATGAAAACTATCAGATATCAGTGGGAGAAGATCCTGCCATGACCCTAAGAAAGTTGTTCTGCTGGATTTCTGTACCATATCCACTCCTTATGGTGTCAGCCTTCCCTGAGCTTTGGCTCTTCCTCCAAGGCCAGACTTGGAAGATACTGAGCAGGGGGAGAGATAGGACGATAGAATAAAGAGTATGGAAAGAGGTGGAAACTTCTTGACTGTCCTCCACTGTGACTGCTTTTGGTAGAGAACTGGGAGAGAGGGCAGTGAACATGTCCATAAGCTTTTCTGGTGCTCCTTGCTAGGGCTGGACTGCGACATTGACATCCAGAAGACCATCCAGATGGTGAGGGCCCAGCGATCTGGGATGGTGCAAACAGAGGCCCAGTACAAGTTCATCTACATGGCCATCTGCCAGTTCATAGAAGCAACCAAGAAAAAGCTGGAAGTTATCCAGGTGAGAGAAAAGGGGCTCTACTGCCCTGTGACCTTAACCCTGCATGGTGTTGGCTCTGAGCCCAAGAGCTTGTTTCACAAGCTTTAAGCTAACACTGAAACTTAAACAGACTACAATGGTGCAGTAAGATCTGTGTCCCTGTTCCTCTCTTTGAGACTTTTAAATTCAGGGGACAAGTTCATTAGCAGCTCAAGTACCAATCCCTTCTGAACTGCTTGACAGCAGTTAAATTTTAATGCAATTACATCAACTATGTTCTGAATAACATCACCAAGTGCTGTTTTGTTACAAATTTAGTCTTATCAAAGACTTTCCCTGCCTCTTCTTTCCTCTTTGTCTTTCACATCCCAGTTTTGCAGCTGCAAGATCTTTTCCTGCTATAAGTGGTGTCTTTTCTCTCTCCTTGTAGCCTCTGGCAGCATACTGTAAGTCCTGCTGTTTTAATATTCTTTAGCTGAAATTTGGCACTTTTAGGTGTTCTAGTGCCTCCAGAGATTTGTTGCCCCACTGTAACCTCCTATCCAAGGCTGCATTTGCAGCTGCAGCTCACCTCTGGCAGTGTGCTGAGCCCAGGCACTTCAGCAATCCACCAGCTTCCACTGAGATTCTGGCAAAATGGGGTTTAACAGCCAGAACTCTTCCACAGTGCCTCAAATGCATCTCTCAGACCACACTCTTCTAAGCCTGTTTTTTCCCTCCTGCAGTCTCAGAAAGGCAAGCCAAATGAGTGTGAGTATGGGAACATCGCCTACCCCCCTGCAGTGAGGAATGCACACCCCAAGGTTTCACGAAAACCCTCCAAGTAAGAGCTCACCTAAAGCAGAGGTCCAGCTCTGCCTGTCTCTGGCAAGTCTGCCTGCTGGCTTCGCTGGCTTTTTCATCTTCCTCACTTTTTCCCTGGTCTTACAGGCAGAAAGAGGAGTCAACAGTGTATGAGAACTTGGGGAAAAAGGAGGAGAAGGTGCGGAAACAACGCTCCTCAGAGAAGAAGCTGAAAGGCTCACTAAAGAAAAAATAATCATACACTGCAGGTGGCCCCATAGGGATTTGAACCTGGGCTGCAGGACTGGAGCTTACATCCCAGCTGGCCTGTATCACATTCCTTGCTCTTGGACTGGAACGAAGCCTTCCCCTTCTCTTCCATGCCAGCTTTCAGTGCCGTGAACCAGAACACTTTTCAGCTCAGCTGACCGACTCTGTGGTCCCTTGCCTGTGCAGGCAAAGTCTCTTGCTGCCCCCTCATCATCCATTAGCAGGAAAAGGTCACGCCCCTCCTTTCCTTGCTCCCTGAGCACCAGGCCCCAAACTCACCTTTGGTGGGCCAGCTTCAGTGGAATTCTCAGGGAAGAGCTAAGGAAGGTCGTCCCAGGAGCTACATCTCTGCCCACTGCCGTGAGTTAAAGTTTAGCTGGTTTGTGTTTCCTGAAGCCTCAGCCTCAGTATGGAGGTTTTGGCCTGTTTCAGCTCAGCTCCTCTGCAATTCAACAGACTTCCTCTTTCCTTAATACCAACCTTCTGCCCCTCATATCCTTTTGCTATCTCATCCTTCACCTGGATGCTGTAAATATACCACAGTTTGATGTGATGGCTGTATTTTCTTCTTTGTTTGTAAATAAACTTGTATTTGTTTGACTACCAGGTCCCAAAAGTTTTTTTTTCTCTAATTTCTCTGGAGTATTAGCTGTAATCCTGATTTCACTTGCAGACCTGCAAAGACTTACAAGGATGGCTCCAGCTTAAGTTTTTCTTATTTTATGTTGCCTTCAGGCTTCTGAAGAGAGGCTGTGACCAATTATGGCAGTTCCTTGCTGTGAGGCTCAAGTGTTGGTGGTCATTAGGAAAGTCTGAGCACAGGAAGTCAGGTGTGACAAACTCTGACACAGCTTTTGCACCTAAATTTTACTTGCAGGTTTTCAATAAGTGAACAGACAAAGCCACAGCTGCTCTGACCTCGTGCTGGTGGCAGTGCCACTTCCAGCAGCAGCCTGGTCCAACAGCCTCCAGAGCCCCCTTCCCACCATGATTTATTCACAATGCATTGGAGGACGGACACTGCTTGCTGTCATTTGATATGGCAAGAAAGTTGTTTGGAAGACAAAGGACACTTGGTGAGCAGACCCTCTTTCTGTGTGCTGGACTTTAGTTTCCCTTAGCCTGTGAGCCCATAGGCCTGTATGTGCATTCCCCAGCTGGCTTTGCAATCCCATTGCCACTAGAGGAAGAAACAGGAAAGAGGCAGTGGCGGAAATAAGGAGCAGAAGTAAAAATGGGTGGAGTGACGTGTTTCATGATGCCAAATATCCTCTTTTAAGCAATGGGGAAGGGGCTGAAATCCTAGTCTAAGGAAACACCTACCTTTGCCTTAGACCCCTGGGTAGCTTCAAAGGACAGGATTCAATTGTCTTCCTTGTTAAAAAGCTGCCACAGCCTAAAGCAAGGCATACCAAGGGTTAGCTTAAACTCTACCTGAAGCTTGAAAATGAAGACATCTTGTGGAACAAGGTTCCTGAGAACCTCATATGTGTTCAAATGCCTGAGCTTAATGTCCATGTCTGGTCTACAAAAAACTTAGACTGAAGAAGAACTTTCCTGATTGCCTATCAAGAAATACAGACTGTCAAAAGCAGTCTATTCTTCTTTACATAAGATCTGTTACACACAAATACTTTGGGATGATTATTTGAGAATGCATTTTCAAAGCTGGATCAAAGAATTTGTGCTTCCTTGATGTTGCAAGCTATGGATATTAGTTATGGCTCTGATTGCCAGTAAACTTTAAACCAGGAATGCATAGATTATATCTGTTCCTTTAAACATCTTATGCTCTGCTTCAGCATAGGAAGAAGTCCCTAAAGGCCTCTCTTCTTCCCTGAAGAGCCCAAGTTGGAGCTGTTTGTAAAAAGAGATGGTTGGTTGTAAACAGACATGGTCCTGTGTGTGACTGTCTTGACAATCATGATCAAGAAATAGCTGAGTTTAAAATTCTGGTGATAGGAGAAAAACTGTAAGTAAAGCTACTTCCCTGGACCTGGGGAGAACAGACTTTAGGGTAGCAGTCAATAAGGTCACCCGGGAATCTGCTTTAGAGGTAGTGGGGTACATAAAAGCTGCTCACTTTTTAAAGGCCTCCTTTCAACAGCACAGGAGCAGGCAATTACAATGTCTGGCCAGTGAGGCTGAGGGCTGGCTTGGCTGAGGAGGGACCTCCTTCTGCAACTTTGCTGAAAGTGTATGGACTTTGGAAAAACAGATTATACAGGAGGACAGACAGATATGCTCCTTGCCACTCTAGAGAAAAAATGCCCAAGCTCAAGTTGAAGCTGGTTGGTACTGTGGTGGGTAACAACAGGCATTTTAAAGTATGTTAACAGCAGAAGGAAGAATAAAGGAAACACTGGTCTGTCACCTGATGAGGTGGGTCATCCCCTTCCCCCAACAGTGATGAAGCAGAGACATTTAATGCTGCCTTAGCTTCTTCCTCTTAACTTCTTCCTCCACTTGTGATGGAGGGTGTCCGGAGCCCTGTGCTGGATGGCCATGGCTGGGGGAGTGATGAACTGACTTTGAACTTGTATGGGATTTGCTGTTGCAACTGAACACACGTAAGTCTATGGGACCCAGTGGGATTCCTCCCAGGGTGCTGAAGGGATGGCCAATGTAACTGTGAGACCTCTCTCAGTTATTAATCAACAGCCTTGGGAATCTGTAGAAATTGACATGGAAGCTAGTAAATGTTGTCCCAATTTTCAAGAAGTGCAAGAAAGAAGATCTTGGTAATTACAGGTCAATCAGTCTCACTCTGGTGTCTGGTAAAACTGTGGAGAAAATTAGTCTGGAAGCTATAAAGAAAAAGACTTGAAAGACAATGCAGTTGTTGATCAAAGTGTGCACGAGTTCTTGAAGGGAAAGTCATGCCTTACCAACTTAAAAACCTTCCACAACAAGGAGGTTACCCACCTAGTAGTCAAAGGGAAGGCCAATGTGTTGTTTTTTGGTGGTTTTTTTTTTGTTTGTTTTGGCAAAGCTTTTGATATTCTCACCATATCCCTCTGGACAGCATTCAGTGTACAGCCAGACGTGTACACAATTTCACCCACACAAAACTGAACAAGAACAAATGCCAGATTCTGCACCCAGAATGCTGTAATCCTGGATGTAAATACAGACTGAGGGATGAGACTGGGGTGCAGCCCTGCAGGAAAGGCTCTGGGCATTTTGAGTGATGGCAGGCCCTGACATGTATTATGCTGTACTAGGCACAGAGTAGTTAACTGGCCAGAGAAGTGAGAGTCCCACTGCACTCATGTCCAGCCTCGCTACCACTGTGTGCATTTCATGCTCCACAACACAAGGAGGATATAAAAATGTTATAATGTGTCCAAAGGAGGGCAAAGACAAAACAAAGACAGCAAGGAAACGTGTGACTTACAAGGAGCAGCTGAGGATACAAAGTTAGCTCAGCTTGGAGAAGACCAAGGGCTGACCTAATACCTCCTCATCAAGTTGAGCAGAAGGGGAGTGCTGATCTCTTCTCTTTGGTGCCCAGCACCAGGACATAGGGGATGGCTTAAAGCTGCATAGGGGGAAGTTCAGATACCCTGAATCTGTCTCTCTTCAAGACATGTTTAGACAACGCTCTCACTTACAGTTTAACTTCCAGGTTGCCCCAGAATTGATCCTTGTGAATCCCTTCCAACTCAGGACATTCTGTGATGCTGGGATAACTTCAAAGTCCTAAATCTTAGTACAGGGCAGCCCAGAGAAACAGCAAAGAAACTACCCCTCAAGAACACAAGATCTTGATGTTGAAACACAAGCGAAGTTTAGTCAGTGGAGAAAGATTCCTCCTCCTCTTTTCAGCCAGAAAAGCAGAGAGGGGGAGAAAGGCTAAGGTGTAACAATGGAGGCCAGGACACAGCATAAAGATGCTTCTGTGACCTGGAAAAGCAGGTAAACCTACCCTCACCTGCAGCCCTTACAGGCAGCCAAGGAACCAGCCCTGGTCACCCACACAGCTGTATGAGCATCCAAACATCTTTCTTCTCTCCCCACACTGTGATGATCTGCCAGTGACCACGAGTATATTTCTTTCTTTTATTCCTTTCCCTTCATCATTCTCATTCTAAATTCAACTAAATAAAATCTCTGCTCCACCTCCCACTACATAAAATAACCTTTTTTTTCCATGCACTAAGCACACTTAGACATGATATAAATTTGGTTGGTTGTTTTTTGTTGTTTTTTTTTAATTTTTACAAATATTTGAAAGCATCACTGAGCAGACAGTGACACAAGTAAGATATTCCAGCAGTGACAGGCACCCAATGAATGGCATTGTCCTGAATTCAGCCCCAGGTTCTCCTGGGATCAAGAGTGAAAGAGAAACAAAATTTACTACAAAAAAGCGCCTGGTGCTGATGGCAGAAGAGCTCCCTCACTTGGCCAAAAAAGAATTTGATATCCTACACAAATCTAAATATTAATGAAGATTAGGGGCAAATATCCACATGGGTTAATACCAGTAAGCCCCTTTGCCCCCTCTCCAAATTTAACTGGTGGGATGAAGAAGAAATTACAGCTGCCTAGAGGCAGAGCCCATTCCTGTAACTGAATCACCACAGTTGGAGCAGAGGCATGGGGACCAAATCTGTCTACTGGATTAAAAACTTCATAGTGAGGACAAACAATACTAGTGGAGGGAGTTCAAAGATCCTCACTCTTATCTTCTGCTGGTCAGCAATGCTGGTTCTAGGAATCTTCAGCTTCTTTCATTTCTTCCCTTTGAGTAGACTGTCACTGAAAGGGAAACAGAAGGGAGTCACCAAACCAGAAAGCACAAACAAAGCTGTACCAGCCCCTCAATACAGATTCTGAGGTATGGGGTGTCACACCCAAAGGATCTGGACTTCTAAGTCCTTCCTATCAGGCAGAGTTTTTTTCCAAAGCCCCTTAAATCTTCTGGAACAAATATGACAGAATCTGGTCAGAGGAAGAAGGGTACTATAATTAAATATCCCATAGAAAAGAAACCAACTCTGGTTTCCCTTCTCAATTCTGAGAAAGCTAAGCTTTTAGCTGCATCCTGTTAGTTCAGTTGGCACTGCCTTTTTCAGTAAGCACTGGACAGGTCAGGCAAAGCCACCAAACTCCTGACAGCTCTGAAAGCAGGAAATGGGGTGTTCTTGCATGATCTGGAAACCTTTTGGAGAATAACAAAAGCATCTTCCCTAGAGATCATCAGCCCAAACCAACATAAATTCCCATGATCATCTTCCTGCCTCCTTACAGCCCTGTTTGCCATGACCACAGGATGCCCTGTACATGTGATGGATCAGAGAATGCTCCAGTTACTCCTGCCTTTCCCATGCAAGGCTCCTTGTGAGGCACACATGGAGCTCCAATTACTGCCCCCTTCATGTATATGTTTGTGTGGTCCCTGCAAGGAAAGCTTCAAGTTTCACATCACAAATGGGAATGGAGGTAGAGATTGGAATAAACTTACTGGGGCCAAAATGGCCCAGGCCACAAACATCCCAGGGAACAACACCACCCTGGTTCCAGTACTAACAAAAAGGATCAAAATGTACAGTGCCTTACCTTCCTCTGTGTCAGCAGATGCAGTAAGGAGTGAAGGG